TGCTTCTTCAGTGTTGTATCTTTCTTTAAAGAAAGATACAAGTACAGCAAAATTACATTTCATCGAACCATTAACTAGGCAGAACTGACCAAGTTGTTCCTTCTTCCTATCTACTCATTATTAAAACAAAATAGTACTGTGATCACAATGTTACAACTTGATTCCTTGATAATTAAATCAAGATGGGAAGGGTTAAATGGGCTCTTGAGCAGCATTGCTGGTGTATAACACTAATGCGTAACCTATTCCTATAGTTACGTTTTTTATTACTATCCTATTTTCTAATTATCGTTTTAGATTTCCCCATCACCTTGGTTACAGTTACAGCTGAGGCGGCATTTTCGCTTGGACAAGCCTCTATTTAACAGTCGTCAAGTTTCCCAGATACAGCAAACTACGTATGTTGGACATTTTTTACATGTTCTCAGTTTGAAGCGTCCTCTCTCTTTGTGAGGAGATGGTAATGACACACCCTAAAATTTGCTACCTAAATTTATTATACATACACATTTATTAGTCTCAGATTCAAGAAACACAAAATGTGATACGTATTGTGCCTGCCTGGCATATGAAGAACAACGGCTACCTGCTGTGAGCATGGAAAGCTAAAAGCCTCCGGATTAAATCCTGGCTCCCCTGTGATCAAGGGAAAAATTCTAGACTACATTTCAAATCTCTCTCTGAGGTAAACTCCTGACCTCAGATGAGTAATTCTGTTGCTACAACACACAGGTACATGTGTATATATGCATGCATATATACACGTACATTTCAGGCAAGTGCCTGAAAGAGATGACTTCAGACATGAAGCAGTGATCTTACTGGTGCCACAGGAAGATTGCCTAATGCTGATGCTAACCTTGATACCACTTCCAACAGATCACCCACCCATACACAGGCCTGCCTCCTTCTTAAGGTCATTTTCAACCCAACCCAGCTGGTCCACATGATGCATAGGTGAAAGGATGCTTCCACCTGGGCTAGTAGTCCATCACTTTAGCCATGAGTACAAAGGCTAAAACCTTCATGCACTAACACATCTTTTCCACTTCGCAAATTTCACAGAACAATAATTATCCCTGTGATTAAGGTGTTAGGGAGGAACTACGGGATCCATTCCAAAGCATGGAGAACAATGTAATGGTCCCCCTGATCTCCAGCTGTCCTCTACACAGTGACAATCATAATATGAGGAATGGTGGAGATTCTAATACTTCAGAACAAAGTGGCACAAAAGGCTTAAAGGTCCAGAGCAAGGGCTGATTGGGGAACAATATTTTCCAAACTGAGTAGATCAGGTATCCTTAGAGCTTAAAATGTTTTTGCACTTGTCCCTTGAAGGAGCCCTTTGGGAATTATCTCCACGATTGCATCACACATCTCTCTCCTGAACAGCTGCTTATTCAGACTGGACTAAAAAATATTTTCAATATTTCAGTCTCAATACTTGAGGTAGTTTGCTGCTGCGGGATCATCACCTGGTCAAACCAATAGGTTGCCTATTGCTTAGAAGTTTGCCTGCAGTGCTTTGGAATACATCTCCAACACTTGAATACATAAGAAGAACGGTGAGAAAACTAAAACCAAGACTGTTTGGCAGGGCGAGTTCCATTGTCTCACTTGAAGACTCTTCAGGAAGGTACTCTTAAATCATAGGATAGAAACCTCCCATAAGAACAGATACAAGAAACAGTTGTGAAAGAAGCACCACGTGTTGTTTCAAGATATGAGACACTTTTCACAGTATAAGAAAAGAACAGTGATGGACAACCATTTCAGAGGTGGCGATACAGAGGTAGAGCTAAAGCTAGAGACACAGAATCTGCCTTCTCAGGCACCTAATCTTAAAGAAAAAGATTTGGTAGATTTAGTACCTTAAACAAAACTCAGCTTCAGCTTCCAGAAGATCAGTATAAATTATATATCAGGGCCTCAACAGATTTGGAATCTGAGATGAATATGTAACATAAATTCACTTTGTATTTGGTGATAAATAAAACACATGTGAACTTTCATTCACGTGACTGAATGAAACTGGGTCTTGATCAAACTCCACCTAAACAGAAACGGACCTCAGTCTCACTTTACCATTCACCACATGGACTTGAATTACACTTACTGTTATCAAATTTAAATTTGACTCTTAGAGCACTGGACATAATTGGTTCTTAAGTAAGGGAGCAAAGGACAGCACTTCCTCTCCCTCCTAGTTCGATCCTTTAAGAGACTCCATGGAAGGCTAAGTTTCTGTTTTCAGTCCCTTAAATCTCTTATCGTGGTTTAGCCCCAGCCAGCAACTAAGCCCCACGCAGCCGCTCGCTCACTCCCCCACGGCGGGACGGGGGAGAGAATTGGAAGAGTAAAAGCGAGGAAACTTATGGTTTGAGATAAAGACAGTTTAATAAGTAAAGCAAAAGCTGAGCACGCAAGCAAAGCAAAACAAGGAATTTGTTCACTACTCCCCATGGGCAGGCAGGTGTTCAGCCCTCTCCAGGGAAGCAGGGCTCCGTCACGCGTAATGGTTTCTTGGGAAGACAGACGCCATCACTCCAAATGTCCCTCCACCCCTTCCTTCTTCTTCGTCCCAGCTTTATATACTGAGCATGACGTTATATGGTGTGGAGTATCTCTTTGGCCAGCCTGGGTCAGCTGTCCTGGCTGTGTCCCCTCCCAGCTTCCCGTGCACCCCCAGCCTGCTCGCTGCAGGCCAGCACGAGAAGCTGGACTGTCCTTGACTACTTAGCAACAACTCAAAACATCAGCACCTTATCAACATTTTCTCACCCCAGATCCAAAACATAGCCTCACGCTAGCTTCTATGAAGGAAATTAACTCTACCCTGGCTGAAACCAGGACATCTCTGACTGAAAAAAGCTTCACCTACAAGCATCAGGCAAATTATAGTTTAAGCACCGGCTGCTTGATTGCCTATTTCCACAGATTAAGTAAACATTCCCAAGCCTATTCAGAAATTAGGTGTTCCCATTTACACAAGCCGTCGTTCTGAATTTGCACTAGTTATGCACCTCAGCAAAGGCTAAGGACTTTTTTTTTCCTAAAATGTCCAACATCTGCCCCTCCATTCAAGAAGGTTTTTAAGTATATCAAATGTCTTTTCCATGTATACTCCAAAGATCTATGGTAAATGAGACAACCAAGATTACAGAGGATATTAAAAAAACATAAGGCTTCAGCATCTAAAATGGGCAGGGCCAGGAAGGATGAAAGAGGGAGGATGGGAGAGAGGTTTCCAGGACAAAACTCCAAGGTCATCACAGAAAGGTTTGTTCTAGGCATAGCTTGTGCTATACTTATTTTGTCTTGGATACATCTTCCATTCAAAGACAGCTAGTGCAGTATCTTTCATCACTCTCTTGCACTTTAAACTAAAACAAACTCCTTTTTTAGAACAGTCTTCTGTTTCTTCCTCCTCCTCCTTTCTTCCTCCCCCAAGATCACTAAACAAGAATTCTGTTTGCAGACAGCGGTGAATTGCATGGGAAGCAAAGCCTAGGAAGACAGAAACTAACTACTGGCTTTCATCCACACTGAAACATATGCACCACATCGTGTGATTGAAAATTGCATTTCTGGTTCCTGTGCTACGCCTGCAGCACTGAAGAGAAACACAATTTATTCTCACTTGCTAACTGCCACATAAAAATTGCTTTGGAATACACAAACTCGAGTGGACAACAGCTTCTCTTCAGTAAGAACACACAGGGGCCCAGCTAGAAGCATCTTCACAAGCTTTACAAACAAAGCGGCATCCCAGAGTGCCTCCCCATCTGACCTTCTTTTTCTCTGCGTTTTCCTTGTCCTCAGCATCCCGCTGCCAAACATTTTTCGTATCAAAATCAAAAGGCCCTCTTCTCATCTCGTAACTATTACCATGATGGTCATCAGCCTTGAACTCTCTGCAAATCATATAATCAGGTAGAGAGGAAACAGAGCTCCTGCAGGCAAAGATTTAACACTTGTTTGTGCTAGGGATACATATCTTGCACGTTAGTACAAAAGTATTCTGAAACACTTAATGGGTGAAGGGAGAGCCCAAGAAGTTATGCAGGGTTTCAGCAAACTTACTGTGGCTCATTGGTCGCTGGGGGATTGGAGCAGTGCAAGTACCAGTCAGGCGCAGCATATGCTGCCAGAGAGGACTTCCTTGTCACGGGAGTGTAGTGCTTCAGGAGGTCTTGAAAGAAAAAGAAAAAAAAAAAAAAAAAAAACCACAAAAACACACAAAAACCCACACACAAAAGCCACTGACTTTTTATCTGGTTGCAAAAGCATCACCTTCATTTTCAGGTTGCTGTTTTATAAGGAAGAAATGCTTGCATTATTCAGTAAGAAGCATTTGTCTTCCTTGATAAAACAGACAGTCAGAACTTTGCAGCATTCTGTTCCACCTGTACCTTGTTTATCTTGCTCTAAACACTTCGGCATGTTTCTACCAGTCTGTTAATTCATATTTCTGGATTTGTTACCCTGCTCTAAGCATGTGTGCAAGACATTTTCCTCAAGTTCCTCAAGTTTCTTTCTTTAATAAAGGAGATAACAAAACCATGGATCAGCTTGGTACAAGAACAGACTGTGTACAGCAATGTAACAAACTGAAAGTCATCACAAAAAAAACCCCACTTTATAAACCTCTACCAAGTTTTCTGATGATTTTTTTTGTGACATAATCATTTTCACCAGACTGCTACTTAAATAGCCCAAGCATAAATTGTAAAGACCTCACTCAAATGCAGCTAAACAGTCATCATCTACTTAGATCAGAGACAGTGCAAAATTACACGTTGCTAAAAGGTACCTATACACAATAGACTGCAGGGGTATCTTGACAAGGTGACCTCTTATGTCACATTTTCAATTGCTCATTTTTTCCATAGGTTAATTTCAAAACTCCAGAGGATTCTTCTGTAGTACCTACAAGCACTTTCTACCACTACACTCAAGCAAAGCCAAGGAAAACAAAGGAAAAACAAACAAGCAAGACAGACGCTCACCAGGTCCGCCTCCTTGCTTTGCCAGCCTGACGTAAGCCGAATCGGTCTCTTTGATCCACTGCCTGCAGCATCCAGACTGCATTTCATGGGGAGCTTTTGCAAAGTCACTGAGACCCAGCATCTGGGATGTTGGAAGAAGTGTGCTCTTCAAGATTACCAACCTCTCTGGTTGTTTCAGTGGCATGTGGTATTGCCGTCCTGCACTAATGGAAAAGAAATATTTATGGTAAAAGTTACTGCTAGCATCCCTTTTTCAGGCAACCAACAAATTGAGCCCACCTGAAACTTGAGCCACATGCTGCATTTCAGCTTGGAAGCAGACAACCAGGCTTGCTTATTCTGGGGGATATAGTACACACAACTTCTGGATGATCAGATGCAACACAGGGACGCTTTGGTTTCAGTTTTGAAACAGCATTCAGGTTTTCACATAAAGCGTTCTAATACAGGGGATCATGCATCTTCATGTAGAAAACTACTTCCAAAGACGCCAAGAGCAGTAAGAGGCACAGAAGACAGCAGGAAACACTTAAGCCTTTGGTTTCCTTTCCTCCTCACCCATTAACAAAAGTAAAGACAGTACCTATCTGTTTGCAGGTCTTGATTTCTAAAACAGCCAAACACAGTCCCCAACCAATCCCCAAACCGCCCACCTCCCCCCCCCAAAAAACACCCAACACCCTACCTCCTGACACATTCCTTTCTCAACTTCTAGTGAGCAAAAAGAAAATATAAATAAATATTCATTAATGGGAAAATGGGAGTGGTGGGCAAGAAAAAAAAAACAACAGTCTAAGGAATTACACCATAAAAGATGCACAGGACACTCACAGAAGTGACTCCAAGAGCATCAAATGCCGCTTCGTAGGTGTAAGGAAACTATCTTAAGGCAGGCAGCCTATTAAGGAGCTCATAGGTAAACAAGTGTTTGCTATGCTGAAACTCGTCTCCCAAAAGAAAAAACAACCCAAAGCACTTACCCTCCATGGTATCAGAGGTAAAGAAACATTTTTCTTTCTGTTTTCTTTCACTTCACTAATTGCTCCATCTGAAACTGCTCGACCTAATTATCGCAAATTGGTCTCCTTTTTAGTTGACTGGGTTGCTGCTGTCTTTGATGTCTTACGGCATGCAATGGCTGAAAATTCGGAAAAAAAAAAGTATTTATGTATGTTTCGAAATTTCCTCTAAAACGGATCATCAATCCTAGATAAAAGGCCGGGGGTTAAATAAGCGGGATCTGCACCTTATCGGGCCGTCAACTTCCACCCCACAGCGGCGG